TTTCTATGTTTAAACTGGTATGAAGCTCTCTGGGGAATAATTATGGGGGGAAGAGAGGCTGCTTGAATATTAATTCAGGACTCTCTGAGGCATCCCAACTTTTCCAATAATCAGCTTTTTTTGCCTGGGTAGCCTGACTTGAGCCTGGTTGGGCCAGGTTGGTAAGGTATTCCTACTCCCAAGCCAGGGTTTTACCTATTTTGGCCTAGTTCAAACATGTAACCATCTCAACTGGGCTAAACCAGCATTTTGTGAATATTTACAACCTCTCCAGTCATCACTAAGTCTACATAAAGGGCTGGGCTACCTGGATTCAATGTAGGGCTGAAACAGGTTGTAATGTTTCAGGGGTTTTACTAGCCTGTTTTGGGTGATTATGATGAAACTAAAGACTCATTACCTCTTCTTCTGGTCGTAGTAAAGCCTTCCCAAGCTTCAGGGGTGATGTGATGGTCATCAGAGCGTCCTCTGATGAAAAAGACTAGTGTTTTGGAATGGCCATAACATTAATTAAATGTGCGCACAACATTAAATTAATCAATTTGGGGAACTTTGAGATATATATATTTTGTTGGACATTTTTTTTTATACTTAGATTTTTTATGGTAATTTTATTTATAATTATATTTTGTAGTTGACTCAAACATAGTAGCCAGCTGAAACATCTGAAACAGCCTCCACGTCACCGCTGTGACCAGATTACGGTTCCTCTCCTTTAACTATAAAGTCTTCCTCATCTGATTTGCCTTCCACAGTTTGATTCGAGTTTACTATTTGACTGTCACCCAACCAAACACAATAGGATTTCAGCTCTGCATTAAACACAATCAGCTTTTCAAAATCGCCCCTTGGTTTGAGCTTTGATTTCTTCTTGCTTGAAAGCATCACAACAGGGTTTATGATTGGCTTACAAAAAGCTAGTGGAAAAGATACTCCTCTAAATAACTCGTAAGGCAAGATTTTTCAATAGTGAGAATTTATTTGATTCAATGCAAGGATGCAGGAGCTGAGGACTTATTCAAATAGCTTGGAAGTAATCCAGAGTTCAACATTACAGTTCAAATAGATTCGATAATTTTCCTGTTGTATTCAGCCAGCCTGTTCTGCTGAGGAGTGTACTCATCTGAGAATCACTGCCTTATTACATGAAATTG